CAGTATTTTATGTTTAATTTCGTACTTTTTCGAGGGTTTGTTTATTTGTAATTAAGCACAAAGCTACACAATGGACTATCTGTGCTCTGCCAACCACGGGTATCAAAATTCTAGTGTTGTAAGTCTGCAGACATACCACTGTGCCACTGGGGGGCTTTTCGAGGGTTGGTGGATAAAATAGGGATGATGACATGCTAAGAGAAAATGTGTCACTTGGGTCACACTAGTGGAAATTCGGGATATTTTCAAATATTGCCTTGTTGAATTAAGAACTTGTACACTATTTAAATATGGATTATTAGCTAATATTTTATGCCATTCTAATTGGTATAACATAAAAAAGTAGTTTAATAAAACTTTGAATATAAGACACTAAAACCTTGTGTCCTGTGCAGTAAAGGGTATCTGGGGCAATAGGGTTAACAATAAAACATGGTGTAAAGATATCAAATAGTATTTAAGATCATACAAATGGTTAACACTAACACACAATCTGTACTCTTTATGATAGTATAATAAATTTTAAATAAGATCAAGAAATAAATTCCTTTTGCACCCTTAACAAGAAAAAACAAATACCAAAATAGAAAGATCCACAACTGCAACATCAGCATTATAAAACAAGTCCAGAACATTAGCTTCTCCAAAGTCCAATTTCTGAAATGGAACATGATGAACAGTTGCTCCTATATGATTACATGCTTTCTGAATTTCTTCATAAGCTCCACGACGATGGTTAAGCCCAACAGAGACAGTCTGACAATACACACACACAAAAAAAAATTCACACACACACATATATATATATATATATCACAAAATAATCCAGAAAATGTACTTTTTAAATATGATTCATTACAATATTTTAATTACTGTAGCTCTTCAATGCAGGAATCTCTACTGAATTTTATTTTGAATAAAATAAAATATACATTTAAGCCAAGAACATGTTACATTGATATTAAAAGAAAAGTCTCCAAAAAATTTTAGACATCATGTAAATTTTACACAAAATCTAAACAGTCAAGAAATTTCTAGGCATCACACATCATCATGATATTTTAATACCATCTCTATCAAACAATAAATAAAATGTCTAAGTTAAAATATTAAAAAAATATTTACAATAATGTTGATCTCTAATGTACACCAGAACTAAATTCTGTACTTACAAGATCAATCACAACTGCTACATTAATATGAGGTCTCACAGAAAGAGGTCCACTGGAGACTGAATGAGAATCCACATCACTCATGTTGGAGCTGCCAACGGGATTGTTTAATACTAGACAGAAGTCTAGCCTCTTCCTATGTTATCAGAGAAAATGTCAAACTTTAGTATAAAATGTTCAATCTAACTGTAATACAATTCTATGTTAAAAACAGATAGGATACATCTTCTTCAAATACTTCATTCACATATGTATCATATTCTAAGTTTTATATGTATGAAAAATACAAGAAAATTGCATTTAGGCTTCAAAAAATAATTTCCAGCACTTAGTTAAAACCTTATAGAGAAGTAGCTTCCCTTTCTCACATGGGAGCTTAGCCTGTTTGCACAAAAACACACAAAAGACAAAAATCAATATATTCCCAAATCTTTGATCACAACTACACTACACATACTGCTTTAACATCTCCTTTTAACCAAATTCTTGTTGCATTGGTTCAGACATGTTTTTGGAAAGTTTATACTCCATTATTAATTACAAAAACAAACTGTCAATGTTAGAGTATTATTAACTGGCAGAATCATAAAGCATCTTTACTACAGGTTTAACATGAACATTCAATGCATACTTTATCCAAGATTTAGGCCATTAAATTCAGTTATTTCACAGTTATTAAAGAAATTGCTACACTACTGTAAAACTACAGAATTTGAAATAACATGTTTTACCTATTTATGCATAACAGCTAATAATGCTCCCTAGGTTCACCTAGCATCATCAGGTGGCAAGCATACAAGAATTCAAATCTGTCACATATTACAAGATCAGTAATGATACTTATACTATATCATTAGTCAACAATATAATAAACGTAAAAACAGCCAAGTAAGGAAAAAACAATTAGAATAAATATGATTGCACAACTATACACTTATCACTTTAAGTTTTTGTTTTTTGATTAAGAAAAATTATTTTTTCTTTAGTTTATGTTTGTTTTCATTGTTAATATTTTAAAGAAAAAATCAAAGACACAGGTTTAACTGTATGTTCCAATACATGAGAGGGAACTTTCAAATGTTCTTTCAATCTTGTTGAAAACTGCTAACACTCTGATGTGAGTACTAACAGTCTTACATTTGACATATCAATTCTGATCTAACAATGTCAACAATGTTTTCTTGAAAGAAACCAACCAACATTTTCCTTGGCAAGGAAGAAATTATTACATAAAAATCCATATTACACTAATTCAGTTTCACACGTTTTAGCCAATATATTTTTGGACAAAACAAAAGAAACTGCTATTTCTAACTCACTTTATTCTCCATGTTTGTGGAATTATTTTATGGTTACATTTTTATGGGTTTTAAATTCCATTGACATTTTTTCTTTCAAATTTGATTCTAATTCATCCCAATATTAGGTATACAGTTAAAAAAAAAAAACTGATGGTAAACTGTCTTTTTTAAATATTTCAGTAGAGCACAAACAATTTCGCACATCCTTTGCATAATGAAACACACTCATTATCTTAAGCAACAAAATTAGAATAAATACAATTATTTTTCATATGGATAAAAATAATTATTCCTCTCAATAGATTTTTTAAGAGAAAATAACATGAAAATCTCAAATTGCATCACAAAATGAGTATTGCCATCCAAACTGGTATATAAAACTTTAACACCCCTGGAAAATTAATTACAAGTCATATAGACAAACAATAAACATAAAAAAAACATGGTATGTGATAGGATTTTTAATGAGAAATGTTCTTTCTTATCATGAAAACAGAACATCAAAAGAAATTTAAGAACTGTGATAGTTCTTATACTGCACATAAAAGAAACATACAACTTCCAACAAGATTGAAAAAACATTTGAAAGTTTCTTTTCATATATTTGAATGCATGGTTAAACATAATCACTACTTCAATTTTTCAGAGTTAAAATTATTAACAAAGAGAACAACATAAATTGCAGAAAATGTAAGAAACTGTCTTTAGCAAAACCTAACATTACTAAATATGTAGGAGTAAAATTTAAAATTTTTCTCATTTGGTTAGTTAACTTTATTACATTGTTGCTGTATACTTCCATTCAAAGTTTTTCATCTGATGATGCTAGGAAACCTTGCACAACTTTTTTTATGCATATTTACTTATTCATCATATACAGATAATTTTAGATTGACATATTATTACAATAACTTATTAAAATTTTGGTTTTTATCTGGTAAAAAAGTTTATAAACTTAACTGGACAGCAAAAACTAACTGTGTTCATCAGTTTTGAATAATACAGAAATACTTGGATATAAAGTTATAGGCAGGTAATATTTATCAGTTGCGATGAAAAAAATAACATTACTCTTCCACACGAGCTGAGCAATTAGTGGTATTTAGTAATGCATTAATTACTAATCAGCCCATTAACAGGTTATATTTAATTAATCAATTAGTACAGTGTTCCTTAAACTATAAAAAAACTCAGTAAGTTTGGACTTGTAGCCAGAGAGTTGGTGACGGGTGCTGCCAGCCAAAAGCTGCTTTCCCTCTAGTCAGCATTCAAAATTAGTGGCAGTAGCAGACAGACATAATTGCTTTTCCATAACAGACATGGTGAGCAAGTTTGGTGGCAATGAGAATCAAAACCAACATGCTTGAACCACAAGCCCACTCCTCTCCATCCCCCATATTGCCAAGTCATGCTCGCCCAAAACTTAAAAAACATGAAGGAAAAAATAAAACGGATAACACCAAACTCAGGTTTAGTTGTTTCCAGTGGGCAGAGCACAGATAACTCATTATGCAGCTTTATGCTAAACAACAAACAGCAAAATTTTGATTACTTGGATAGTTAGAATGACTAGTAATAATGAAAACACATAATTTGACAAATTGATCATTTTCATGACACTTGATTTATCTGTGATTTCAATTAATCAACTGTTGAAATAATAAAAAACACTAACAATCAGAAATACTAATTTTTAGTAGTTGATTATTGAGATATTAATCTGTTTAATCATAATTTTGATTAACTGATTAGTTTATGTGACTTTAATAAATGTAATCATTTTAATTACATCCCCCAGCTCTACCTTATACTTCAAATAAATCTGAATAATTTTTAAATGACATGACCTTAAGTTGTTAAAACAAATGTTCTAATTAAAATGTATAACAAAGACCAAGATAACAGAATGGCAACAACAAAGGAAGTTCAGCCCATTCCTTCCAAACAGTCTTCTTGTGACAAGGTGGTAGTAAGGCCTTGAATCTATTATGAAAAATGTTAATCAAAGCCTGACATCTATACAAAGGCTTCAGAAAACTGCATTTACTTGAAACTTCAAAAACCTAGCCCTTCATTAAAATTTGTTTTGAAATTGTTGCTCCCTTCCAAATAGTCAAATCAATGGCCTACAGATTCAGGTGTGAATCATTGCTTTTTTCATACAAAATAGCAAATTTATTAGTCCTACTGATGAGTTTTAACTTTGTTAATGTTGCTCTTTTGTTTTTCAGTAGGATACATTTTCTCATTGATACAGTAACATGTAATCCAATCAGCTCTTCAGTGCATATTGCTGGTCAGTCACCAATTTCCATAATCTAAATTTGTACATCATTGACTCTCTGAAACAGTATTCAGCAGCTATGTACCTCATCCAATTTATAATCCTCCATAAATTAAAAGAAGAATTGCCATACATAAAGATAACTATTTCAATGATGATCATTTGCCAATAAAAAAAAGAAGGTAAATCAGTCTCTGCCACCATAATTTATACTTCAACTTGTATTGTGGATGGTACTTTACAAGGTATAGAACCTTGTGATAACAAGTAAGAACATTCAAGAGGAAGACTGCAAAAACAAGCTTGCAGCAATCACAGATGGTCACACTAGCTACAGAGGATGTTTTCATTCTGCAAAACTACCATCTGCTGGAAGCCAACAGTAAAGGTTCAAGCCAGCAGCAACCATTATGGGCACATAATTCCTACACAGATATATATTCTTTAGGTTGGGCTCTTTCCTTTATTACTGTGCATCAGAAACAATAAAAATCTCTTGGAACAATTCAGCTAAACTTAAAACTGATGATAAAGAAACTCTTTTTCTACAGTAAAGACCAACTACATGTGACAGTTTATCAGTATTCATTCTCAGAATTTTTAGTTAATACAAAGAGAAAGTATGATGTTAGTAGATTTGAAGATTAATATTTCATTTTCACAAATGTTTCTTTATATGTTCATACTATATAATAAATATCATATCTCAGGAATTACAAAAGATATTGCCACAATCTAAGTATACCTACATATGTTTAAGATTACAGGTCAAGATCAAAGTTAACTTCACAATTTGAACAACTTTACAAAAAATATGAAATCAATTTTCTTTTATTACTACACCATTTCATGTTAAGTTTTAAGCATTTTATGAATGCCTAGAAGCAGAGCTCTGAAATAGCATACAATGATATAGCAAATATGCCATGTAATATTAAAATTGGGCCAATTTAATAGTCACCTTCGATTAACAGTAAAATGGACAAAATATGTACGACCTATAATAACACCATGTCTTAGAAACTAAAAATGATATAGCAAGAAGAAAATAATTCTTACATGTTTTTCTACAATATTTATTGACATATACAATTTATGATTTCATAATGTTAGATATACACAATTGTTCATTTATATTTTGTAAGCATTAAAGTAAGTTATTTTTTAAAGCAATACTTATGGCAAGTTTGCTTACGTAACTGTTAATGAATCATTTGTTGCATATTTAAATTGTTGGGAATTAATGTCATGTTAATCTAAACTTCTGAATTTTTCTCATTGCTTTAAGTGAGTATCATAACAGCTTATAGTTTAAAGAAAATTCTAGACCTCAGTTGGGAAATATATATATATATATATATATATATATATATATA